ATTTATTTATATAATATGTATTTCCACTATGATAAAGTCATTATCACATTTGACTACAATCCCATTAGGGCGCATGTATCAAATTTGTTTATAAAATAATTTCTTATATTTTTGTTATATTATAATCACTTTAAATTAAAGTTTATTTATAGCAAAAATGCTTTCTTTTTGTTCCTGTGCTGGTGGAGGGGGGAAGAGGTGCCGCCCGTCCCGGCCCAGTAATAACATTAATTGTTTCCCCCATTGAAATCTGCCACTGGCCCTGCAGGCGGCACCCGGGGCACATGCTCCCCCCTAGCTTCAGCACTGACCCCAACCATCCCTGTGCCTCCCCTTCCCCCACACTGAGCCACTATTACCTGGCTTCTCCCCGCTTTTTCTATGTCCCGCAGCCTGCTCAGTCCGGGTACTGACGAGATGCCCCGCCTCCTGCAGAGCCCGCACTGTACTGAGAGCTGCGCATTCCTTGTGACAGCCGCTGCTTGAGTCAGTGAGAGGCAGCCCTGGAGCATCCGTGCCGCTTCAATGACGGCCCAGCCTGCACGGCATCAGAGGGGCCTGGGGACCACCAAAATTTTCTCGCGGACCACTGGTTGGCAACCACTGATCTAGAGAAGAGGACTTCCTGCAGGGGGCAGCACAATAAGTAAGCGCTGAGCAAATGATTTTTCCTTCAATAGCTGGAGTTCTGCTTTAAAGCCAGAAACAGCCAGGCAGCTTACATTTTCAGAGCCAGGACAGCAACAACATCTTCTATATTCCCCTCAGCGCTGTCTAAGTGAAATGATTATTGTCATCACTAAACCTTTGCCCACCCGCTGGTCTGTGCTATTGGAGCGCTAACAATGGCTCGTTTGTGCAGCATCCCCCTGTCCTGGTTAGAATCCTGTTTGTCTTTCCTCGCCGGGTGTCTTGTGTATTTTGTGTGGGAATATCTCCGGTGTGTACACTTCACATGTCAGCATGACACACGTGTGTTCCATTCCCCCCCCCCCTCTCCCCCGCAGGTTTCGGAAGAAATCCACAGTGGCGGACTCCTTCAACAATTTAGTCCACGGCCAAAGTCTCGAGCAATTCACTGAAGGTATTTATAATTTTTTGGATGTTTCATTATGTGGGAAGAAAGTCTTATGGAGAGGTCTGTGCCAAAAATGTGTACTTCTCCTTTCCTTGTGTTTATCTTTTTTATACTGCAGATCGCTCTCTGTAGAAACAAACGCACTGCGCCCGACAAACACACTGTGCCTGACAGATACACTGCGCCCGACAGACACACTGCGCCCGGCAGACACACTGCGCCCGGCAGACACACTGCGCCCGGCAGACACACTGCGCCCGGCAGACACACTGCGCCCGGCAGACACACTGCGCCCGACAGACACACTGCGCCCGACAGATACACTGCGCCCGACAAACACACTGCGCCCGACAAACACACTGCGCCCGACAGACACACTGCGCCCGACAAACACACTGCGCCCGACAAACACACTGCGCCCGACAAACACACTGCGCCCGACAGATACACTGCGCCCGACAAACACACTGCGCCCGACAGACACACTGCGCCCGACAAACACACTGCGCCCTACAGACACACTGCGCCCGACAGATACACTGCGCCCGACAAACACACTGCGCCCGACAAACACACTGCGCCCGACAAACACACTGCGCCCGACAAACACACTGCGCCCTACAGACACACTGCGCCCGACAGATACACTGCGCCCGACAAACACACTGCGCCCGACAAACACACTGCGCCCGACAGATACACTGCGCCCGACAAACACACTGCGCCCTACAGACACACTGCGCCCGACAAACACACTGCGCCCGACAAACACACTGCGCCCGACAAACACACTGCGCCCGACAAACACACTGCGCCCGACAGACACACTGCGCCCGACAAACATAGAATATTCACATGTGATCAGACTGTAACAGCATGACACCAGGAGTGAGGCTAGGTTCACACCTAGGCAATTCAGATGCTGAGCTTTTTTTTACGCGGTAGCCCGAAAATAGCTCCTGCGGCTATGTTCACACTTGCACTGCACCGCACGACACCGAGGACGCGCGTCCCGGGTGTCGTGCGGTCCTGTACAATGCAGGCAGTGATTGCAGCGCGGGCCCTTATTGATTTCAATGGGGGTGACATCCACACGACAATCGCAGAAAAAAGGTACAAGTACCTTTTTTTTTTTCCGATACACGACGCGCGGCTGTTTTGGGAAACAGTGACTGGGGTGCCATTAGAAAATAATGACACTCACAACGCGATCAGTTCACACCTCGGCACCTCCTGAATCGTGCACGATTCCCGCGCGGTGAGGTGTCGCCCAGGTGTGAACCTAGCCTGCTCCTTTTCGCACGACAGGCGATTTCGTCCGCGCGACAAACCGCAGAGGTGTGAACAGCCTCCATTGACTTCAATGCGAATCTGTGTTTTGCGCGATAAATCGCCTAGGTGTGCACCGGCCTTGAATGGGGTGGAAATATAAGATTGTTATTACTTTTATGCTGAGTTGCCAATCATAGAATGAGCAGTTTCCCGGAAACAACCAATCAGAATGTTTTTTTTTCATGGAAGAAAACCTAAACCTGATTGGTTACTCTGGGCATCTGCTGCACATTTCTTCCCCCGGTATTTCTTGCTCAGTGCCACTCAATGAGAACATGTAACCTGAGGGAGGAGTATTAGCCAATTCCTTCAAGTGGAAATGAAGCCCAAATCTTTTTTTACGTTTTGGATAGAGTAAGGGAGGGTTATAACCCCTGTCAGCCTTTTTATTTTACCATCTGTGTCCCAATGGGGGGATTTCCCTTCACTTCCTGTCCAATAGCCACAACAGGAAGTGTCTCCAAGGTGAGTGAAATCCCAGGTGGTCAGCGGGGTCACCAGGACTAGTGTCCCCATTATTCTTGTTCTGGTGACAACCCAACATTTGGGATTTCCTTTCACTTTCAGTGATAACGGTCACCAGGGCGAATCTCCCTAATAGGGACACAGTCAGCAATAAAAAACCTGACAGGGGTTGTAATCTCTCTTTGTAAACAAAAATCACTCAAATTGCCGGTGTGTGGTGTGGAATAAATACACCAACAGACTGACATGGAAGGGGATGGGGTCAGGTCTGATTTGCAGATACTACAGAGTACTTGCAGTATTAGGCGGTTGCTCCAGTCTGTGACATGATAAAGGGGACCTAGAGTAACATGAGATACATTTGTTCCTGATCACAGTAATTGCCCTGACAATGCCTTCATCTACTTTTCTCATCAGTAGGAAGGCGCCATCTTTGTTCAGACATCATCCACGGTCATCGTTTGACTTCCTTTACTGAGATACCAGCTCAGGAATAACACAGTCCTGGTGTTTATGCAGTCCTCAGCTGGGTTCACAAATGCCTGACACCGATCAACCCCATACTGTAGCTTCTCACCTTGTGACTCGCTGAAAAATTGCAGTCTGATCGCTTGGGAAGGGGAGACTTAGAAAATGCTTCCTCCTGCCTGCAGCAGACTGATGACATCATCTCAGCCTAGGCAAAATTTTGATTTAAAAGCTACATTTTAAAGTGGACCTAGACCCACCAATCTACCTGTCTACCAAAATAGTTACTTTTAAGACATTCCAAACCATCAAGGTTGCCAGTGTGACTATTTGAGCTCTCAACCCAACTTACAAACCCTCAAATGACTGGTGTCATAGCTGATCACATGTGCAGCACCATGGCAACTGCAATCCAAATAGAGACTAAGATGGCGCCCTCCTTGGCTGTAGGGAATAGGAGGGCGCAGTACAACTTTATTAATAACAGGTAAAGCTTTTTTGGACAAATACTTTTGCTTTATGTTGTCAGGAATTTTAATGTTGCGGATTTAAAGTTAATGAAAGGTTCACTATAAGGGCTTGTTCACACCAATCGCGGTGCGTTCCAGAGTGGGATCTGCTGGAACGCACCGCCATCGCTCACAAAACTTCCCCCTGCGTTCTGGGGTGGGGCGGTGTATTAAAGTCAATTGCACCGCAGCCACGCCCCCCCCGCCTGCAGTGCGATCGGACGCGTGGCAAAACATTGCCTGCGTTCCATTCCACTGCAAACGCAAAAAATGTTGCTCGCTCTATTTTTGGCGTTTGCATTGGAACCGAATGCAGGCAATGTTTTGCCATGTGTCCGATCGCACTGCGGGCGGGGGGGATTGTGGCTGTGGTGCCATTGACTTCAATGCACCGCCATGCCCAATCCAGCCCCAAAACGCAGGGGGAAGTTTTGTGAGCGATTGCGTTGCGTTCCAGCAGCACCGCAATTGGTGTGAACAAGCCCTAAGGGGTTCTTGTATAAAAGTCCTGCGTGGCGTATAGCCGTCACACCCCTAGATGGCGCCGGTGAGTATAGGAAATCCCTATACCGGTCAGCGCCCTCTAGGGGAGATATGCACTAAGTGTGTCTGGCACATGTTCTGAGATCTTGTCATATCATTGAAATCTTGTCATTCATGTTGTAATTATTCTGTTTGTGTTGAAGAGGAGATCCACGCAGAGGTGTGCTACGCCGAGTGTCTGCTGCTGCGAGCTGCCCTCACCTTCCTGCAGGTCTGACATGTCAGTGTTACACATCGGTTGTTACATCCTTCTATGTTTTTTGGTGCCGGGGAGTTTGTTGTAATTAAATGACTGAATAGAACAAGACACAGAAGGCGGTGGACTGGAATCAGCTCATTTAATAAAATTCAATGCCAGGCAACGAGCAATGTGCACATTTAGCTTGTCCTTCTCTATGGGAGTACGTGGCTGTACGCCGCCCTACGCTCACCCGACCTACACGTCCGTGTGGGTGTCCGTATGGGTGTCTCGCACGCTGACATGATGAATCCTGTCTGCGTCCGAGCAGGGACATCCGCACCTGCACGGACCTGCAGGTCGGGTGAGCATAAGGCAGCGTACGGTCGAGTACTCCCATAGAGAAGGACAGACTGCTGCATACAAATCACGCGCAGCACCTGTCCTTCCCGGGAGCTGCCCGATACAGCCGTGCACGCCGCAACAATCTGTACGGGCCGGCCATTACCTGTGTCAATGGGGGCTTAAAGTACAAATTAAGCAAAAAAAAACCCAAACATAACATATTGCAGCTTACCAGTCCTGAGATGTGGTGGCTGCCCTAGCAGGAGTGAATGGGATTGTTAATGTTGAACTTGCTTAAAGCTGAACTCCGCGCCCAAAAACCTTCATTTAAATCTATTTCTCAATAGTCACAAAGGATATAAATGCACTTTTTGTGCACCAAATGCCTCTGAAACCTCAGACCTTACCTTTGTAAAGGTAGCGGTGACATCATCACTGCTGTACAGAGCCTGCGCAGAGAGCAGAGCTGTGGGAGGGACCCAGTAGGCCGCACCCACTACAGAGAACTACAGGAGGGGGTGGAGACAAGACCAGTCACCCTGCACAAGGAGAGAGAGCAGCAGCGACTGGTCTTTGTTATAGAAAGCACACTGGATTACTGCACAGATGTGGAAGAAATACACAGATCTCACCAAGATTCAAATAAGAAGACACATGACTCTTGTATTCAGACAATATTTGCATATCCCGGAGTTCAGCTTTAATCGATCAAACGCTGCACTGTAAATATCACTTGTATACAGAATGACATGGTCACTGGGTCATTTAACAAGTATGTAATAGATTACCATAAATTCCTCAGAAGAGGAAGCAGTCACATGACGATCTGGCAGTATCATAATGATCCTTTTTTGCTCCTTCTTCTGCATTTTGCCTTTAATATGGAACTGGAACCTTGCTGTACAAGCCACCAGGCCTCCATGGGCCCCAGGGGTACATTCATATAACACAGTGAGCAGTGGGGCAGTTGTAATCCAAAGCAATGTGCCAGCATGGCACCCAGTCAGATATCAGCCTTTGCCTGGTTGAATATTGCACCCAATGAGAAATCAGCCTTTGCCTGGTTGAATAATGCAGCCAATCAGAAATCAGCCTTTGCCTGGTTAAATATTGCAGCCAATCAAGAATCAGCCAATCAAGAATCAACCTTTGCCTGGTTTAATACTGCAGCCAATCAGAAATCAGCCTTTGACTGGTTAAATATTGCAGCCAATCAAGAATCAGCCTTTGCCTGGTTTATTACTGTAGCCAGTCAGATATCAGCCTTTGCCTGGTTGAATACAGCAGCCAATCAGATATCCGCATTTAACTGAATACATTTTGCAGCCAATCAGGAATCAGCCTTTGCCCGAATAAATATTGCAGCCAATCATATATCATCCTGTACCTGTGTTTTTAAAGCTTACCTGTGATTGGTTATTATAGGAGTAAGTGCATTGCTGCTCTTTTCACTGTCAGTGCACGTTGTACAGTAACCTATAAGAAATCATCTGATTGGTTTAGGTCCATGCAATGTGTCTTTCAGCCATACTGTTTTATTGAATACACCCAATACGAATTTATGAGAAATATGTGGGCTGCTACTGCTCACCCTCTGAAAAATGCTAGTTGCCTGACTGCCAAACTAAACTAGGGGTCTCAGTGTCTGTTTCCTAGTCGGTGATTATGATTACATTTATAGATCAGGAATCCTGCGTTTACCTTCACTCGCTGCATACTTGTCCCACGTCAGTGATTTACAAAGTACTGAAGCCGTAGGATCAACATGACAGACAGGCAATCCACATTTTGAGAAGGAGATCAGCAGAGGCGGCTGTAAGCTTTGAGTATTTAAGAAGTTCAGTGACTGAATTACAGATGAGGAAATTCCCCAGAATATTTATAGCATCAAATTAAGAAATTGCAATTAATGTTGCAGATTAATTATTTTTCTCAATGACTACAGGATGAGAACATGGTCAGTTTTATCAAGGGTGGAATCAAGGTCAGGAACAGCTACCAGACGTACAAGTGAGTATCAAACCTCTAAATCATGAACACACAGCGATGATATTATATAAGTGGAACTCCAGACAAAGCTTTTCATTTGCTCCTAGACCCTCTGCCTGACACATTGCTGTCCTTGTCTTTATTGGGGATATCCCCCTCATTTCCTGGAAATATTTTTTGGAAATATATATCTGACGACAGAGGGGTCCTGGTTCATATAGAGATATATATATAGAGATATATATATATATATTCTAAAAGGACAGCACATGAAACAGAAATTGTGAACGCTGATGTTTGTAAGCTTGCTTGATTTTCTTTGATAAAGGTGCTCGGATTTTAAACATGCAACTCGAATTTAACTATGCTTGTTTTTCAGGGAGCTGGATAATCTACAGAAGTGTGCTAACTACCTGAAAGGAGACAGCCACTGTCACTTTGAAGGTGGAGTGAAGCTGGGCGTTGGAGCTTTCAATCTGGTATGAAGTTATATATACACCACGCATGTATGAGTAATGTATGAGTCATTGATTGGGTCAGATGTCACTGCCCATTGCCTTCAGGTCTAGAACATAATGAATAGACAAGAATGGCTTGTCCATAGGAGTGTCCTTAGAACTGATTTCTTATGCTGATATCCTAAAATGGTTTTCTAGTTGACCTGTGCATGAATTCAATACACTGTAACTACATTTTTCCTGCGTGTTGGTGGGTGGGAGGCTCAAGCAGGCAGAATGTGAAATGCCTTCATCCCTGAAGGTTTCACAAGACACTACATTTTGGTGTTGGTGGTCCAGGAGTGACTTTTTGTAGCTTCGTGCTAAGGGTTGGAAGGTGGAGATGAGTGACTCTTATAACAGTGCATGGGCTTACGCTGAGGGCCAGGTTCGTTAGCAGGCTGTGGATAAAGGTAACAAACAGGGTCTATGGTGCATGATTCATTTTTTTGTGCCCTTGCAGCTTGATTTGCTTAAAGGATCAGTCCATAGGTAAAGCTTGGTGGGCATATGAGAAGTCTCTGCTTTCTTAAATGGCTTTCATACTTCAACAGTGGGATCTCCTTAATATAATTCCAGAGCCTCTCTCATCCTCTGGAACTCCCTATCCCAATCTGTCCTATTATCTCCTACTCTGTCCACCTTTAGGTGATCCTTCAAAGCTTATTTCTTCAGGAAAACCTATCCCACCCCAACATAATAACTGTTCTTTACTTCTTCCATCAGCTCATACCACACAATTTGTATCACTTGCTCCCCCTACTAAATTGTAAGCTGTCATGAGCAGGGCCCCCCTAACCCTCCTGTATTAAAATTGTATTGTAACTGTACTGTCTCCCTCCATTTTGTAAAGCGCTGCACAAACTTATATAAATCCTAAATAATAATAATAATAATTCCTGCCCTGTCGCTGTCTTCCTCTAGTTTTAGATGCTGTCACCTAACTTTGTGTGCTTCGGCATCTACTGAATGTGCTACAGGGAGAGTGGGCATCACACATAATTGCCACAGCAGATATGCAGATCCAGGAACTGAAGCCCAAATATCTCACCAATAGAGTTTCAAAAAGGAAATTGTCAGCTGCGTTAACTTCCCACCAATCACCAAAAACTAAAAAAGACAGCTTTTGTTCTCTTTAAAATTCACACAAAATGTTTACCAACTGCCAGGAAAACGAATAATATTCAGTCTCTGTTTCACCTCTTCAGTATCCACCATTAAGAGATAGTCCAAGGTTATACATGAAGATGTTTTAATGCTCCTCCTCACCCTCACCAGTGGCCTACTGTCTCTGCTGCAAAGGGGATGGGATAAGAGATAATGGCAGGATGGCATGGCTCAGTGGAAAATAACTTAGGCGGGCGCTGTCAGAGATCACTCCTATATGTGCAGGGTTTACAGACGTATAATGTCCCAGGTGGGATGACATCTGGCAGACTTTTATAAAGCAGCATGTGTTGGAGAGCTTGGGGCAACTGACACTTGGTCCCTTCACTGGTGACTTATCTAGACCTAATGGTCTACTGCTAAGTCACATTTGGACTAAGTTCACCCTTGCTTCTGGTAGCCTACACAAGTGCCGGGAGCATATAGGTTGGTATTCCTGGTCCATCTAATTTTCCAGCTTCTCCAAGAAATTTCTCCTAAGTTATACTAAAGGTTGATGCAGCATTAAAGTGACATTAAACCCTCAGATTTTTTAACATAAACCAATACTGTAATGTGCGCCTTACTGTAATCCATGGTTGTTTCCCTTCTCTTCTCTTTGCTGCTCTTCCTTTTAAATCCTCATGTCTTCTCCTGCTGGGGGAGAACTTCCCTTTGCAGCTGAATGCCTCTTCCTGTATTGCTGGCTCAGGTTGCAAACCTATACACAGACACCGTGTATCCACTTCAGAGACAAGGCTGTCTGCTGCAAAACAGAAGTTCTGCCCAGTATGAGAAGACATACGGATTTAAAAGGAAGAGCAGCAAGGAGAAGGGAAACTACCATGGATTACAGTAAGGCACACATTACAGTATTGTTTTATGTTAAAAAATCTGAGGGTTTAATGTCACTTTAAGGAAGATAAAAAAATGTATTGTGTGGCCAATATTTTGGTACCTGCAGATGCTACAGAAGCTCTGAAAGAACAATTGGTTGGGGTAACCACTCTCTACTTTTTGGATTAGATGATCAGTAGGGGAAACTCTGATCTCAGATTTTTCTAGTCAAGAATATAGTTAGGACCTGTCCTGAACTTTACTTCAGTTGTCCTTCCTTCCTTCCAGAAACAACGTTTTGTCAGTTCTCCAGAAGATGTATGGTATAGATTGGTGTTGGTACTGCTCATTAAGGAAGCTGATTTAATTCCTGGCTGCCCCCCGCAGGGCATATTTATATGTTTAATAGCAATCTACAGGAGCTAAATTTGCCTTTGACCCTATATAAAATTCTTAGTGAAAGGAAAGAAGTGATAATCCTATTTGCACATTTGTACATGCAGCATAGCAATGATCAGATCAGTTGATGGCAAGGTGGCAGAATGTAGCTCCAGAAATTATATTAAGCATCGCTGTCCCCTTATGGATGTGATTATCTGAACTATTTTGTTGCAGTTTTTGTCACCACAGGAGATATATATCGCATCTCTTTCTCTCACAATAGGAAGTGAAGGGAAATCTCTCCAGTGGACACAGACTGCTACTTAAAGTCACACAAGTGATTTTTCCCCCCATAGTGATCACCCCTTTCTTTTAGTAATTTCTTGCTAAGAAATTTGTGATTTTGTTATGGAATTGCTAACTCTTCTAATTATAAAGTAATTTGTCGCTTTGGCGCTCTATTGCTCGTTAACACCCTGTTTAATGTATATGCTGTAGCTCATTTTGATGAAGGTGTCCAATAACTCATCTTTGACACCATCCTCTGGCAGGCAAGAAATAGAACTCATACCTCAGATTTGCACGCATGGCCTTAATGAGAAAATAGTTTGGCTTTCAATCCCAACTACACACAAGGTTGAGTTTGATGACAGTTAGATCAGCGTGTAAAATGACAGCGTTACATCCATACAGTGTTTACACAGATCACATGGTTGGTTTATTCTGGAACTAAAGTAACCCTTGTATGAGGGATATACAGAAGCTGCCACTCCTGATCTCCTTCTACGTATACTAAGTTCTGACTTTTATATATACTATAATAAAAGTCAGAACTCTTGGCCTGCGTATCTGTAATCGGGTAGTCACTCAGAAAGTACTGGAACCATTGGATCAGTATGACACACAGACAGCTGGCATATTAGCAGGGAAATAGACGCTTTCATGTACCAATAGTACAGATCTTTCTTACATCACTGAAGCCAGAGGATTAACATTATATCCAGACACGTTGCATTTGCAAAGTGAGGGGCCAGTAATGGCTTATCTCATGACAGGCATGAGACGTCATTTAAAAACAAAATGTCACATTAAATAGGTGCTTAGTAAATATTTATTTCTGTGAGTTTAAGGTCTAGGTTTGTTTTTTGTTGTTGTTGTTGTTTCTGTTTGTTGTTTCTGTTTGGCACATGCTTAGCCTTCTCCATGTATGAGCATGTTGTTTTTGGTATGTGCTTAGTCTTATTGGGCTTGCGAACCCAATAGTGAACACCCTACAGCGTTCACAGGCAGTTTAAATAGGCCACGGCCGTGACGTCATGCGGCCGCGGCGCACTTCCGCGTTCCAGCGTGGAGCGCATAGTACCTCCCCTAATGGGGGAGGGAACCCTCGGCGGCTTCCCTGTCTGGTGCGTTCCACGCTGGAACGCACACGGGACGTGGCACGGAGCCGAGGTACGTTACATATCCATGTATTAGTATCTTGCTTTTGATTGGTATGTGCATAGTCTTCTCCATGTATGAGCATGTTGTTTTTGTTTGGTACATGCGTAGTCTTCTGGATGTATGATCATGTTGTTTTTGTTTGGCACATGATTAGCCTTCTCCATGTATGAGCATGTTGTTTTTATTTGGTATATGCTTTGTCTTCTCCTTGTATGAGTATGTTGTTTTGTTTGGTATATGGTCAGTCTTCTTCATGTATGAGCGTGTTATTTTTGTTTGGTACATGCTTAGTCTTCTCCATGTATGATCCTGTTGTTTTTGTTTGGTATGTGCTTAGCCTTCTCCATGTATGAGCATGTTGTTTTTGTTTGGTACGTGCTTAGCCTTCTCCATGTATGATCCTGTTGTTTTTATTTGGTATATGCTTAGCCTTCTCCATGTATGATCCTGTTGTTTTTGTTTGGTATGTGCTTAGCCTTCTCCATGTATGATCCTGTTGTTTTTTTACCACATTTTACATGACTGTGAGATCTCTGAGCTGATATCTTAGTCCAGGGAGTACATGGTGACCTTGGATCAAGCTTGATGGTGCCATCCTTCTGTAGAGAAAAGCAGAAGGCGGCAATGTTTTGGGCAGTACTGTAATCTTTGTAAGAGGTGATAAATACCTGCAAGGATTACATGTACACATTACCTGTCAGACATCAATTTACCATGAAAAAAATCTAACTGATGTTAAGTCCACTTTAATGTGTATCTATAGCCACTATAGCCATTTTTTGAATGTTGGATAGAGTAGTGATGGTAAAACGTTTGTTACTTTTTTGCTGTTGGTGTCCTTCAAGATTTCAATTTGCTTCCTGTGTGGGAACAAACATCAGGAAGTGGGAGGAGATCTCTCAAAAGTGAGGGCGGACCCTCTCTTGGTCAGTTGTCACTGGTACAGGCACCCTCACTGGAGGATTGCTCCTTTCCTTCTGTCTCAATGACAGTTGGTAAATGTTAGGTTTCCTTTGTTTTTATCTTGACGATAAATAAAGAGATGCATTTCCCCAGTGAGGACACAGAAAACCCCCAAAAAACAGCTTTATCCAAAAACAAAAACATGTTGTGGCTATAGAACGCTTAAGCCACGTGCCCCCATTTAATTTAAGATACATATTGTCATCTGATGGACCAGTCATGAACCCCAACTTATAATATGTTGTTATGTATATGCTATCAACCAAATTAAGCTGTGATGAAACAAGACATTAATTACGCATCAGGATTCAATTGTTATTGTAGTTTGCAGCCTGTGACCATGACATACTTGGCTCTGTATTAAGTCAACTTGAGTTCTTTTCCTGTCTGACAACTTATGATGGCCTAAAGCTATAAAAGTCACTCCCTATGTTATAGAGATGATCTTTGGAATTTAACAAAGTGACATCACAAAACACATATTTGTGCTACTCTGCAGGATAATTAAGGGCTTGGCTAACACTATTCACATACCGCCAACATCAAAACATTCTGAGTTTAAGAAGGCAATCAGTTAGGGGCAACGATTACATGAAAACCTGAATCCTACAGGAGTTTCCATTTATTTGTACATATGCCTTCCTTCTAAAGTCTATGCTTACTAAAACTGGGAGATGACTTGCCTTGGGAATGAAAAGTCTAACCTGACTGGTCACTATTATTATTATTATTTATTTGCATCCTTATTAGGGAGATTCAGTCTCTCCAATTGTCCTGATCACCAATGTCACTGGGTAAAATTGAAAATTTTGAGTTGCCACCAGAACAAGATTAAAGGGGAATTCTCCAAATGGTGAGCCTTCTTCCGGAGACAACTGTCTTAGAGGGGATTTCACCAACATTGGAAAGATGTCCTCTCACTTACTGTTGAGTCCAAAGGACAGGAAGTAAAGATAAATCTCCCTCATGAGACACAGATGACAACTTCCACCGGGTTAACCCTCCCTTATAGATAAAAAAAATAAAAAATTTTGGCTTTAGTTATACTCTAAATTTCTTATCGTATTTGTGAAGGCGACTTTCGTACTCTACCCAAAATATATCAGTGTTTCTCTGATTTCCTCCTAGACCTTATCAATGCTGCCCACCAGGATATTGCGACTTTTGGAATTTGTTGGTTTTTCTGGTAACAAGGTAAGATATTTCCTGTATTGTCTCCTTCATCCTCATTGTATTTCGGAGCTCGCTGACTGCTGTCAGGGAGCAAGCCCGCATTCCTCACAAGGCCACCGAGGCCTGGCCTCGGGGCAGCAGGGAGCAGAGGGGCGGCAGCGGTGTCCTTGTGGGGAAGTTGCCCTCTCTACATTCAGTCCTGCTTTGTACAAGCAGGACTAAATGTCGAGTGAGGCAGACGATTTTTCGTTTACATGTGAACTCGGCGATGTCGCCAAGATCAGTAATATACAAATAGTATATATAGTATATATAGTATAAAAATTATAAAAAAGTAAATATGATAAATAAAAATCTAAAAATAAATTGAATTGCCCCCAGGGCAGAGGCAGTGGAAGGAAATGTCTCAACTGAAACTCCGGAAAGTTTAGCAGGCAGACTTACATGCAGCAATAAAGTTATAATAAACCCTCGCTGCTAAAAAAATTCCCCTCTATATAAATCAATGTATTATCCCCAACAATTATATCCCCAATAAATATAAATCACTGTTCAGCTTTAAAAAAAAAATGCTCCTTTTACATGTTATACCTTACAGCCGAGCATGACCTGACTGCAAAAATTCCTTGCCAGGTGATCCCCTCTGTCCTTATACACTGCAGGATGTGCCTGGGTCATTTTTATTATTTGGGTTTAATAACACTTTAAGTGGTTCATTTATAAAAGTTCCATTCACGCGACACTAGTGCTCCTAGATGGCGCTGATGAATATAGGAATTTCCTAGGGCCATCTAGGGGCACTAGTGCCACATCAACTGAACTTTTATAAATGAACCCCTAAGTCTGATGTTCAGCTGACAGGAAATTTGTCAGAGAAGTATATTTGTTGAAATATTTACAGTATGTGCTTTTTGCGATCCTAAATATATATTTTTTGGTACTCATGTGTATTCCTGTTCCCGGCTCATTCATGTAATAATTAGAGGTGCCATATCTATTTATCTGAAGGCTTTTAAAATTTAATTTTAAATGACTTTTAGTTCCCTGTATGCACTGCTTAACTTTCAGGCTTGATTGAATACTTCATTAAATAAACCATTTCATGTTCCCAGGCAATGGTTGCGACACGCTGTTATTAATGTCTAATTATATTTGAATTCCCCCAGGATTACGGGCTGACGCAGCTTCAGGAGGGGGCAGCAGATCACAGTTTTCGGGCCTTGCTCTGCACTCTTCTGCTTCTTTGCTATCACACCTTCCTGAGCTTTGTGTTAGGTGAGTGCACTTCAACAAGTGTATTTCCTCTGATTGTTTAGGGCCAGCATGTTACATAGTGGCCATTCACATGTACACTATTCACATCAGTCAATTCCCAATAGGAGCTTACAATCTAATGTCCATCCTACACTCACCCAGGCTCTCATCAGAAGTAAGCAGACTTGAAATCAGACCAGTTTAGACATAAACTATCTAAAGAGACTCAGTTATATATACCTATAACTGGTTAATTAGCAATACATTGAAACTATGCTTTGCCAATGTAGCCCAAAGTAACTTTTATGCCGAGTTCCCTCCTGCATGTTCTCGCCCTTCCACCCCCACCACTCCCCCAGGAGTGAAGAGGAATTCCCAGTACTTCTGGTTATGGGATGATATGACTGTCATGTGACAGTCCTGATGTTTTGTGATTGGCCCAGTACTGTCACATATGGGTGGTAGAGGGTCCGCAGCCCTGTGTAAGCTACAACTGGGATTGAGTTGGAGCTTACACAATTATTTTTCTCCAGGGGAAAAACGAGCAGTGGGGGAGCAAAAGATGGCAAATATAACATGTTGTGGGGGTTGGCTTCAAACTGAACCTGTTACTTTGCCCTGTTTGGGCAATGTACAGGTTTACTTTAAGAGTGTGCAGCAGCCAAATGGTGCATCCAGCAGTCATGTCCAACTCCATCATGCACCACTATAGCCCCCAGAAATTCTATGCAAATATCAACTTTCTGAAAGTTACATCCCTCAGGTTACAGTGCTCATGGATAGGGCCTTTGTGGCACAGAGAACTGCATTGTGGGAAGCAGGGGAACATGCATATGTCTTCCAGAACCTGAAGGTCAGGGATCTCACAGAGCTGCAACAGTAGATCAGGAAGGTGGTCAATGCCGGTATAACAGCAGGAGCTCACACCACCTCACAGGCTCTCAGGCATACCAGCCCTTATGGCAAATGCTAGTTTTGCCAGGTAGTTAGTTAAGGCCTGGTTCCTACCTATGCTTGTATGTCCTCTACTTATACTTACAATGTATTTCTCTTACCTGCATCCAGGTACCGGTAAAGGAAACATTGAGGAAGCAGAGAGCCTGCTACAGCCATATCTCAAACGTTATCCCAAGGTAAGGAAAGTTCATCCTATGTGTGGTATTTGTTGGATGTCTTTTTTCCATTTAGATGTCTTCTTTCCGGATCAATAACCCAGATTTAGGGCTTGTTCACGCGACGTCCGTATTCAGTCCTGACCAGATCCGTGCACTCCTGCACTAAAAATGCATCCCAATGTATCCCTATGTTTTTTATGGGCTACAGTTCTCACGTGCACGGTCCGTTCAGGTACGGACAGAAAAAATACTGCATGTCACATTGTGTACGGTCCGGAAACGCAAAACGCGTCAAAAATGCACTGCAGCTAACATACTGACAGCCCCACTGGAACGCGTCAAAAATGCATAGCACCGCGTCTGCTGATCTGCTCCAGATCTGGACCTGATCTGGTCCGGACATTGTGTGAACAAGCTCTTAGGCCTTGTTCACACCAAATGCAGAGCAGATCTGCATGGGTTTCTGCACATGCAGTGCAGTGGGTTGTGCCGCGTTTTTTTGCAGCGTTTTGCCGTGTTCAGGGCCGTTTTTGTAAAAAAAAAAATGTTTTAGTTTAAAATGGGCTTTCAGTGCATTCCGGTGCGTTTGCATGCATTTTCGATGCATTTGCATGCGTTCCAGAGCAGGTAAAACAGGGCTTGCTGCAGTTTTACATGCTCTGGAACTGAACACGCGGTGTGAACTAGAGCCCAAAATACCATTGGAATACATTGGACGCAGTTTTGATCCGGTCTGTAACTGCTCTGCTCTGCACCTGGAACGCGTTTTGTGTGAACAAGGCCTTAGAGGTTCAGTTCATCTGACAGGAGGGCTGTCTATATACATATATACCTATGATCTATCTATCTATCTATCTATCTATCTATCTATCTATCTATCTATCCATCTATTTTATATCTACCTGTGAATTGCATGCTTTATAAACCCCTCTGTATGCACAGAGTTGACAAATGTATCGAATAAATGACAGAATGACTGAGTGACTCCACACACACCCTTCACTGTGTGGCCCCATACAGAATCCCAGTTTCAGAGACAGTGTAAAAAAACCTTTTGCTGCGTTTCTTTTCCCTAGAAAACCCATAGTTGTCTGTGATACCAGTGTCATGGGTGCATCTTTTATCAAGTGCTTAAAGCAGAAGTAAACTGCTTTGTAAATTTACATTTTTTCCCCTAATTTGGAAGTATGAAGTATGCACAGCATACCTGAAAAGTGCGCCCTTCTCCAGCACTGTCTGATTGATCTTCGGTCCTCAGCTTAGTCCCCTGCCGCCACCACCTCCACTGTTGCCTCTTCCAGGTTCTCAGAAGTCCTCTTTGGCCATTGCGAGGCCACTGATGATGTAACTCCTACGCATACACACAGAAGTTCCATCCCCCACGGCAGCCAGCCCATTCACAGCATCTTAAAAATGCCATGTATGGGCTGAGGGTTATAGAATGCATGGCGCATGCAACATACGGTGTATACAAAAAAAAAAAATCACTGGAGAGAGGTAGAATTTTTCTTGGCAGAAAAGACTTGGCATGTCTCTTCTGCCAAAAATCCCTACCTTCCATTTATTGCATTGGCTTAGCTTTATATAAAATGCACAAAAGATATAATAATATAAACATCCGTTTAAAAAAACATAAAAATAATAAGGATAAGACAAAATGTAAAATATAATTGACTCAAAACTATTTACGTTTCCCCATCAAGTTCTGTGTGGTGGATTTCTAGTATCTGGATGTCTTCATATCATTTCCCCAGTCAGTAACAGAAAGTAAACATGTGTGACTTTGGCTTTTCCAACCTGTGTGTGTTCACAGCTAACACTATACATTTATATGTCTTTCCAGGGTTCCATATTCCTTTTCTTTGCCGGAAGAATAGAAGAAATTAAAGGGAACATTGAAGCTGTAAGAAAGTAGACTACATAAGACTATTAGTAAACATAAATATACTTAACATATTAATTGCAAAATGCAAAAAGCAATACCCAAACATGTGGCATCTGTCATTGTCCTCAGATGTCAAACGGAAATCATTTAGAGTTATCAATGTTTTTATTTTTGACCAGCTTTTTGTTTTTGAAAAATACTTCCAGTTTTTAGCTACTCAAATTCAGTCCAAAACACTCATTCTACCACTAGGAAGACCGGCCAACCATCATCCTGGCTTTAATCCCGATCTAAAAAAACTTGCCTCTTATACAGAATATTGCACACAAATGGTCTGGGTTCAGATCTTCTTTTATTGTGTAATATTTTAGAAATGATGGTCACCTTGATATGTTTTCTCATTATGGCATAAAGTGACACTAAACGCAGGAGTTAAACCTTAAAAATGCATTCAAGTACCCTAACTATTAACAGAAATGTATCTTATTTATGTATCACTCAGCTGTAGATCCTCAAATCATCTCTGAATTGGTGTTGACATTGTCCTTCCTTCTGGAGGTTGGCTACTCCCATAGTTCTCCTTTAAGGTAGTTGAATGCATTTTTAAGATTTCACTCCTGAGTTTAGTGTCACCCTTAATTAAGCATCAGTTTGTGAACAGAAACCATACCAATCACACCTATATAAGTATTAGGCTATATTATTATCTCCAGCATGTCTGGCAGGCTTTTTAAATGATTGCAATGTCTGTCATACAATGTTGTGTATACATATATTTGATGATAATTTATACATTTTATAATATTTCATATAGAGCATTGAGATGGTTTATTTGCCCAGTTGTAGACATCCCCATTGATGGACCGTTACAATAAAGAATATTTACATTTAGGGGTTTTCTCTCCACCTGGGCATAACAAAAAGTACAGTTTAGAATTTGTAAGTAAATTGATTTGAGATACCAGATCCTATATGGTTGTGAAGAATTGCGCAGTAATTGCACTATTTTCTGCCTATGCTAGTTATATACATTTCTTCAAACAAAGGTGTTCTGGCTCACCTGATTTGTGCTCATTTTAAACCCCTTACTATACTCCAATGGGTTCATTTATAGCCCTAGACGGTGCTCATAAGTATGGGAAATTCCTTTGCTCATCAGTGCCATCTCTGGGTGCTAGTGCTGTGCAAATGGCATCCACCCAGCATATCGTTTTTTTAATGAATGAAGCCCTAAATGTCTGTAGTATTCACATAGTACATTTGCTGCTGTTCTCTGCAGGCCATCCAGAGGTTCGAGGAGTGCTGTGAAGCCCAGCAGACCTGGAAGCAGTTCCATCATATGTGTTACTGGCAGCTGATGTGGTGCTTTACCTACAAGCAGCAGTGGAAGATGGCTTACTTCTACGCTGACCTTCTGAGTAAGGAAAGCTCCTGGTCAAAGGTATTTAAATGAGTTTGAGCTGGTGACATTGTTGACATATTCTAAGTAATCCTTAGCACAGGTAAGATCACGTAGCATCCCTCCACCTTGTTTTTATGGTGTATTTGTGCAGCATGGCCCTCTCCTGACAGTGCTCCAACTACTCCAATGGGTGGCTTTATGACAATTCTTTTCTGTGTTTGTCCTCAGCAATTTATCATTCTGTTCATATCACTGGTGTAAACTAGCTATAGACACCAAAGGGTGGCTGACTGTTCAGGCGCGATCCAACTGCACTGTCGGCCAGTGCAATCAATACAAATGGTTGCTTATTAACGCAAGTGTCCATGGGGTGGGGGTGGGTGAGATGCTCCATAGACTTCAGCAGCAAATTATCATGAGGAAAACAATAACGACTAGATACAATGTTCCAATGAGTCCATTCACTATTCCCCTGGTGAACTTTGGCTGTTGGCCACTGCTGGTGCCTCATAGACATTAGATAATTGGCCGGATCTGCCAAAAAAAGACCAATTGGGAGTGCCATGTACTGTCCATGGACACCGCTATTAGTAGGAGCCACCCACAGGAAAGAAAGTGTAGTTAGGCAAAATAAATAAAGAATCCTGTGCTGAATGGAAGAGACTGTAAATTACATGCATTAGCAAATAAGATCACGTGCAAGGCTGGCTGAGAAAAAACTCTTACCCCTCTACTGGATTGTGAAGTTTGTAGGACCGGCTCCATGATATAAGTATACAGTGCCACATCAGTTGTCCACGGTGCTTTGTTAAACTGAGCACCTGTTTGATTGTTACATTTCTATTAAAGGTCTACATGTTACAAGACACAGAGCTGTATATTGTGGGGAGAATTCAACTATCGTCATCCTTTTTTTCAGTTACTGGAGCACACCTGAGCTCATAGAACTCTGATATTGCCTCTATTCCTGCACTACACCCGTTCCTTTATATTGTCGTTATACCTGTGCTATAATAAGACCTTCATTTTATTTCATCTCGAGGCCTGACTGCCCATGGTGTAGAGATTATATAGGTCTGGTTGGGATAAACAGCTTATTTCAGGCTGCAGTAGGTTTTGGGGTTTGTTGTGCCATAGACAACGTTGTCTTATTGTCATGCTAACAGTATGGATTTTTATAATGGGATCATGACTTTTGTATTTTGTATATCCCTCTTAATTAATGAGGATCTTGTAATGTATATTCATCCCTGAGGTTCTATATACCAATTCTTTTCTTTTTATATAGAATATCATTTTTGCATTAAGGGACCAGCACCAATTTTGGAGCTGGAAATATACTAAAAAAATTGGGCATCTGTTTCCATGTCAGTATTTGTATTAGTTTCATAAGAAAGTACAATAAAGAACAGAATTCGCATCAGGGGTGTCCTTACAGCCCTCGCCACCTGAGCCCGGGGTGAGGGTTGGTGCAGATGGTGCATGTTGCTTGGGAAGGGGTTATGTTGGTGGCACACATTACTGGGAGTGAGGGGGGGGGGGGCAGAGTTGGTGGCGCCCATTACAGGGGTGGTGGACTCTATCTTTGTCCAGCATTCCGTGGACTGTACCTGTACAGAGGTACAGTCCACCCCCCTGTAATGTGCGCCGCCAACTTCGAGCTCTTGCCTCAGGCTGCCTCTTTATAGGTATGACCCTGATTCACACGTAGAATTAGGAATACAATATTAAGAAGTAGAACAATAGCAGTAGAAAGTGCACAGTATGCATCATGCAGAATAACACTAGTGTGAGCACAGATCATGCTTGCACCTGTATAGTCATAAGATAACAGCAACAAGCCAATAGGCGACCCCAGGAGTAGGAACAGATATTGCCTCAAATTGTTTATGGGGATAGAAAGAAAAAAAGAAAAGGAAAGGGAAATGTTAAAACAAGAGCAGAATCAGAGAAAGGAAAGAGAAGAAGGGGGAGGGAAAAGGTGCGTGCGTGCGTGTGTGTGGGTAAGGAAGCCGGGCAAGACAAGATAGGGCAAGAAGTAGTCCCAAAATAAAGCAGGAGAACATCAACCCAGCCATGCTAAAGTGCACATTGCATAGTCCATCAAATGGAGGCTGCCAGAGAACCAGGAAGTCCAGATCTTTTCTAAATGTGTCATCGGAGTCCATGAGGATACTCAGAAGGTCATTTACTGTGCATGAGCTGCTTAAATCAACTGGCCATCCATTTATTGGTTTTAACAATTTTCTCCTGACTTTAAGAGGAATGCCTTCTCATTTCCTGTTTTGTTTCTTGTACAGGAAGTAAGGTGAAATCCTCCCGAGGGGCAGCAATAAAATCTTGATAGACGTTTTTATCCAAAACTAGAAAAAATGGACTTCACATTAGTATTTTTAGTCTCCTTATACTGCCTTTGAAGGCCATGTCCATCTTTTGACTATGTGTGTTATGTTCCCTTTTTCCCAGGCCACATACATGTATATGAAAGCGGCCTACCTCAGCATGTGTGGCCCAACTGACTCAAAACCCTTTGGGGAGGATGAAGTCCAGCTTTTCAGGTAAAGAGGACAGAAAGTCTGATTGCTTGCTCTCTGTACTCAGATCTTATTAATCTTTGTGTTGGTTTTAAGAAATGGTTTATGAAACTTTACCATCACTTCTGCAGATGAAATATTGTATCTCGAAGCTCTACCACCATGCGTTTGTATCTTGAGATATAGGAAGTTTTTTTCATTACTTTAGGAAGTAACTGGCACAAGAATAATTGCCACTTGTTCTTAAAGCCCATCTCCGGCCAAGACTTTTCTATTTTTTATTACAGCGATCAGTGGGGGAATGTGTATTGGTGGGGGTGGGGGTGTTGGTGGGGTGATAAGCATTAAAGTGGAACTCCACTTGTAGTACTTTATTAATTGTGATTGGCTCAGAGAGGTTATGTGTAATGCTTTTCCAACTATGTCCAGAGGGCAGCTGGGGATGCAAAAAATATTTTATTCCAGCATGATACTACTGTCAGCGGTGAGCTTCCGCCACTCAGACTGACAGTTCCCGCTGATGTACAGTAAAGAAGGGAGATGCTCACTTTACCCGTCCTCATCCATTCACAGAAAGCCTTGTGTTCTTTTCACTGAATGTAAGGCGCTCTGAAAATGGATGAGAGGAGATCCCATGGTTTAGCTGCCCTTCCTCTCCTCTCATTCATTCACAGGAAACCTTGAGTTTAGTAAAAGGAATAAAAGTTTTTTTGTGAATGGATGAGAAAGTAACTAACTCTCTTCTTCCCTTTACATTAGCTGGATCTGTCAGTCTGACATTAGTGTAGCGCAAGAATAAAACTATCCTTTTTAGCATCCCCAGCACCCCAGCATGTGTGAGGAATAACATTACACATATTGTTTTTCCTGGAATTCCACTTTAAAGTCAACCTTTATTTTTAAAAGTGAAAGTCCTGCAAAGAGCAGACACCACAACATGGCTGTAATGACATTTATTAGCAAAAAAAACTCTTCTGTACCCATCTCTAAGTCCGCCTAACTTTGATACCCTTTAACCTTTGCAAGTCTTTATTTGCTATTAATCTGTATGTTATCTTCTCTTCAAATGGTTCCATTTATTTATCGCCTCAAGAGATCGTTCTCACTTGGTGCATTAAGCTGCATTGATAAACACAGGCTCTACGCAAATTGCTCTATGTGCCCTGTTTACACCATTCATGTGCATAGAAAAGGAAGCATGTCTGCATGTCACGCCGTCGCATATCCATGCTAAAATGCATAAAGTATAGAATTAGGTGTTTTTTGTCACTTTCAATAAAATAAAATAAAAATAAACAATAAATAAATATATAACCAATCACAATGCACACCAGCAGGCATGTGTTATATGAAGCATGATGCATGCAGGCTGGTATGAATGAGCCCTAATGGGCACCTCAAATGCCAGTCAGGATCTAGCAATTTTATGGAGTGAAAACATGTGTGATCATTTCTGTGCATAAACTTTTACATACAAAATGTCACAAAATCATTAAAGTAAAACTCTATTCAAAACTTAAAGTGACATTAAACCCTCAGATTTTTTTTCTCTATGTGTTTTTGTTGTCCATGTCACAACAAAAGGTGAGGGGAAACCTATAGTTAAAGGGTGCCATCAACAAAAGGGTAGAGGGGTCATTTCCAATGGGTACACCCGTTCCAGTAACCGCTATCAAAGTTGGGCTTTCCATTGGCTGGGGAGATTTACATACACTTTCTGTTGTGTTTCTGGGACAGGAAGTGAAGGGAAATCCCACAAAGGGCACAGATAGGGTAGAGACCCAACAGAGGTTCTTACTCTTCCATATCTAAACCCAAATAGATTTGACTGGCGTTCTTCTTTGTTATGTGCTTTATTCATCAGTTACCTGTGATAAAGCCTTTAGTGAAGTGAAGACATAATGTGCAGTTGTAGAAATGAGCAATTACCATATGGTAATAAATATACGACATGTGTCATGATATAGTAAACTGACCCTATTGAATGATAAATGAATGAATACACTGCCTTGCCAAAAAATCACTACCTGGATCTGGTTAAGCAAATAGGTGAGAGCCTTCCACTAGATAAGTGGTATGATCTGAGGTGGCTTCAGTTGGTCAGGTCTAGGTTTAGCAATGTTATGTGCCCAAAAAAGGTCAGCTGCCTACCTGAATATACTGAATGATCAGGTTTTTCCATCAATGGATTTTTACTTCATTGATGGCACATTGGGCATATTCCAAAATGACAATGCCAGGACTCATCGGGCTCAAATTGTGGAAAAGTGGTTCAGGGAGCATGAGACATCATTGTCACACATGGATTGGCAACCACATGGTCCAGATCTTAACCGCAATGAGAATCTTTGGGATGTGCTGGAGAAGACTTTACACAGGTCCGACTCTCCCATCATCACTACAAGATCTTGGTGAGAAATGAATGCAACTCTGAACGGAAATAAATGCTGTGACATTGCATAAGCTTATCAAAACAATGCCACGGCAAATGTGTGCTGTAGTCAAGGCTAAAGGCGGTCCAAAGAAATAGTGGAGTGTGTGACTCCTTTTTTTTTTTGGCCAAGCAGTGTAGATAAACATCTACATGTTTAGATGTACATTCCTCTGCCATGAAGTGATTCCCGTTCTCCATCAAACACAGATTGGCAGCTGCATTGGGGCCTGTGTGCAATCCGCCTTATGATTATGTTTGCTTCCACAGGCAGGTGCCAAGTTTAAAAGTGAAAATCGCCGGAAAATCTCTTCCCACCGAGAAATTTGCCATACGGAAATCTCGAAGGTATCAGCCGCAGAACCACACTCCTCTGCCTGTCCCGCCATTGGTACGACTCTTATGTTTACTTATTGGGTACACGTCAGCTAAAGGGTCAGTCAGTGAGAACTCTAGGCAGATCCAAACAACACAAAAGAATGCAGCTCTGTATACATTCATACATCATTAAGGGCCTGTTCACACTCTTTCTTTATGGCATTGCGACCCAATGCATGCTACAGACAGTGGTGCAATGTGGCGTTCTTCTTTCTGAATGGCAGCCCAATGCACCATTCCAATCTAGTGCGTTGGGGAGCCCATTCAAAAGAATAGGCTGCCCTAAAGCAAAGCAGACCGGGCTGTTGTAAATGGGCCCTAAATGTATATTTCAAATGCAACTATTGCAGTCCCTGTACAGCAGAGCTCAGACTGGGAGAAGGTTGGGCAGGTCTGGGAGCCAATCAGGTGTGCTTCATGTAAAGGAGCTGGCACAGGACATGTTGGTAAGAGGAGGGAGCAGAGAGATAGCACCATTGCACCCCTTCTATAGTCTGTAACTGTAAAAAGAAAGTTTTGTTGTTTGATTTGTATAGATTGGTGAGGGGTTAGAACCACCATCAGGTTTATATTGCTGTCTATGTACCCTAATTGTACTAATCACCAATGTCATCGGGATTGAAAGTGAAGATAAATCCAAAATTTTCATTTGCCACTAGAGAAGGAATAGAAGGTAAATCTTGGAATTGTGGCACCTGTTCCCGTGACCAATGTTTAGAGGGGACATCCTTCACATTTGAAAGACTTCCAGTTCCTGTTGAGTCTGCACGACAGGAACTGAAGTCACTGAACCCCCCCCCCCCCCTACTCCATTCAAAATGAATAAATAAAAGTAGTTCTGTCCTTTGCTGCTTACCTGCTCATATAACATCCTTCTGATTGGTGATGATAATTAGCCGAGACATCACATGCTTTACAGAGCTCAGGAATATATTTGATCAGCTGAAGTGCTTCCCTCCACAGGAGATGATGTATATCTGGAACGGCTATGCTGCCATCGGGAAGCAGAGGGATCTCACTGAGGACATGCTGGAGACATTGAACCAGTCAGAGAAAGCTCTGGAAGGATCTGCAGGTAGCAAGTCATATAATTTAAGGCAAGCACTCATTTTTCGGGTGTTTTTGCTTGTGGGGACCAGTGGCTGATACATTCAGATTTCTGCTGGATACATCTGCCAGGTTCTAATTCTTTACCCACTGGGACACATTTAATGGGTACCAGTGTCTTGCCTTCAAGGTAGCCATAGGTGTAAGACAATGGTTGCCCAAGGTACCTACAGACACTGCTGGCAGATGTTTTGGCCAATTAGAGAACATGCTTTTGTTTCCCATGAGGTAATCTTTTGTTGGAGGTGTCTCCATGCTCCTCCTGCCTCCTTCTGTATTCCGTAGAATAAACAGGAATGCTCAGGTGACCCAGACTCTTATGTTCATGCCCGAAGCTGGGCCTGAGGACATCTTACTATAGTTAGATTGTACATTTGTGCTTGACCTTCCCTTGATGTGTGCATTCTAGGGTCCCTAATTAGAGTATCTTAAACATGGGCTGTTGTAGTGGCTGACAGCATATCTTGTATAAGGAGGGAGAAAGATTGATACATTTAGATAGGAAAGCTCTTTCAATGCCTTGTAATAGCCACCCCAACAGATGCAGACTATAAGGTAAATGAGGAATCTGGTGCCTAAGGCCTTGTTCGCACTGAGCGCGTTCCAAGAGCTGAGCAGTTACAGACCGGATCAAAACTGCGACCAATGTATTCCAATGGTATTTTGGGCTCTAGTTCACACCGCAGCGGTCAGTTCCAGAGCATGTAAAAAAACTGCAGCAGGCCCTATTTTACCTGCTCTGGAACGCATGCAAACGCATCAAAAACGCATGCAAATGCCCAGGAACGAACTGAAAGTCCATTCTAAACGTTGAAATTATTATTTTTTTAACCAAAAACGACCCGGAACGCATCAAAAACGCGGCAAAAAACGCAGTATAACACACTGCACTGCGTGTGCAGAAACTCGTGCAGATCTGGTCTGCATTTGGTGTGAACAAGCCCTAAATTTCATGTTCATGCACTGTACTGTACCTGTCTCTGAAGTCAATAAAGTGACACTTAACTCAGGAGTTAAGGCTGGGTTCACACCTGGGCGGTCGTAATATGCGCGTCAAACACGCGTTTTTCTGTTCACGAAACGCGCGTTTGACGTCTGAAAAAAGGTGAAAAACGCCCAGGTGTGAACTGGGCCTTAATCTTAAAAATGCTTTCATATGCCTTACCTATTAACAAAATGTATCTTATTTTTGTATCACTCGGCTGTAGATCCTCCAATCATCTCTGAATTGGTGCTGACACTGTCCTTCCTTCTGGAGGGTGGCTACTTTTATTCCCCCTTCTGGAGGGTGGCTACTTGTGTTCCCCATGGTCCCTGTGTGTGTTGTAAAGTAGTCACCACTCCAAGTTTACTCCTGTGATGGACTACAATCTCAATACAAATTTGGAAACTAAAGGTGAGAATGTAGTCCATCACAGGAGTGAGTTTAGAGCGGTGGCTACTTTACAACACACACAGGGACCATGGGGAACACAAGTAGCCACCCTCCAGAAGGAAGGACAATGTCAGCACCAATTCAGAGATGATTTGAGGATCTACAGCCGAGTGATACACAAATAAAATACATTTTTATTAATAGTTAAAGGAGAACTATGAGGCGAGTGCTTTTTACTCACCTCATAGTTCTAGCCGACCTGTGACAATGAGACTGTCAATAATTAAGGCATTTGAATGCATTTAAAGATTTACCTCCTGAGTTTAGTGTCACTTTACGTACCTGTGTCAATAGGCTTTGGGCTTGTATTAGTGGCATCAGTTTGAGATGCATCTAAGCTCATTCAGAATCCAGTGACGGGTGTATTTTACCTGCAGTTAACCTTCTTCTGACTTGCAGATGACCGGCTCTAAGTGGGTTTCGCATTGCCGTTGACTTGTATAGCAATGCAAAAACAAACAAAACAAAAGCCCGTTGACAAAGGCCTTAATAGATTTCAGTAAATATATAAAATCAGCCTCTGATACATGCTTAGGTCAGGAAAAGCACATGAATAGTACTGATGTCTATTAATGTATAATAACCAGTTTCTCAAGCCTCTAAAAATATAATTACAAGTAATATAATAAATGTGCAGTTGCGGTGACAGAATGTATTTAGTGCCAGCATATTATGCTTGTTAATTTTATATACTATCTCATCTCTATAAATGTCTAATTTTAGCAAGGTTATAATGCCAAACTTTGAGTGCCCATGAAAACAGCGCTCTGTTCCAGAAACATCTCAGTCTGGCATAGAGTCAGCGATTTGTCTTCTGTACTATGACAGTAGGAGCTGAAACTTGTATACAATCCAGTCCACGCTGTGAACTCATCCATGTTCTGGGCAGGCAACTAAGAGAACCTGCTGACTGTGCATACAAGGTGGAGGCCACACTGAGAAGGCTTCCAAGATCTATGAATACAGACTTCTCACAATGTATCATGAGTAATCATAGATCTCCAACTGGCCAACTAAAGCCTTCAGCTTGGGACACATTAGTATGTATTCAGGAGCCAGTCTGTCCAATCCAGGAGCCAGCTGGATTTGTTTAGGAGCGAGCTCCATTGACAACAGCTAGAGAAAACCTTAAGGAGCATTGGCTATCTGGCTCCTGGGATTTGTCCAGCCTTTTGTGTATCCTATGGGCAGCACAAAATAATTTGTTGGGCCATCCTGGCTTTTGGGGGTTACAACATTGCCCGATGATAGCAATTACTTTTGAACACTGTAACAATGAATTGGTTTCTGAACTCTTAGGGGGACTATAATGAGCATCTATAGTTGTTGGATGTGCTTGTTATGACAGAGGCAGATTTTCCAAATTATTTGAAAACCTCCCTGTGGTCAAGCCTGACCCTTTCTTTTGTGTAGAAGAGGGAAGGGGCATAGTACAGCAAGTGTACAGCTCTCAATGTTAAGGTGGCCATACACTCTACAACCATCGCAAGACTTTAGTCTTGCGATGGTTGTAAAGGGATTAAAAAAACGTACGATCTGCCTATCTTGGACAGGCAGATCGCACTCTCGATCATCGCAAGCCCGCCCTCCTGAGGGGCAGGCTTCCGATGACCGCAATGCTGAACGGGCAGTGTGCGCGTGCGCACACCGGCCCGTTCAGCATTTATCTTCCGAGCACCGTTCTAACCAGCCGAGAATCGTACGATTCCCGGCTGGTTTTCGAACATGCTGGTTCGACAGAAGACGTGCGACCGTACAGTAGAAACGGTCGCACGTCTCCGTTCACACTGCTCGATTATCGTACGAAAACCCGATCGCATACGATTATCGTACGATAATCGTGCAGTGTATGGGCACCTTTAGGCAGTAACATCTGGAGTGGGCTCGCATACCCCAAAGACTTATTTAAGGATGAGCAGATATGTCCTCGTTTGCTTCTCTGGATAAGACACACGTATAATTTTCTGCCTATTTCAGCCAATTTCAATCACAAAAAAACCCAGCAAAATACAATAAAGCAGCCTATCACTAACATTTGAAAACAATTTCATGATAGGAACTGTAGGTGGTGCAGAATACCCGCAATACCTCAGTTGGAGTCTGCACCTGCTAACCCTTCATTGAAAGTAATTAAACTGACTTATTTTGTGCTCCATATCAGCTGCTGAATTCCTGGCCGATGATCAATGTCTGGTGAAGCTCCTGAAAGGTCTTTGCCTGAAGTATCTGGACAGGATAGAGGAGGCAGAAGAGTGCTTCAAATACATTTCTGTAAAGTGAGTATGATTCTGTATGTGCTGGAGGCTTTGTGACGTATATGCTGTACAATCACATGTATGTGTGTGTCTGAAACACGTCTGTCAGAGCCATAGGTAGTAGAATTCTTTATGGAGAGGGAGAGTAATACTCACGTGTTCATACTGAAGAAATTAAGTGCTTTGTATTATATTAATTATTCTTCATTTTTCTCCACTCTACAACTGATCATGGTGAAAGCAACTCATGTCTGCAAAGGAATGTATATTTATCCTTATAGGTGGATTCACACCTATGACCATGCATTTTCACGTGTGTTAACACATGTTGGTAACACGGGTTGTGCATGAATTTTGGGTGTGGGGCCATTCTGTTAATTTCTAATGACCATCAAAATTGGTCAACACAGTATGCACCTGACCCTTCAACTCACCACAACACATAGAATAGTAATGACACATAGATGTGAATAGTTGCTTTGTGATGCACTGCATTGGCAGGCATGATTTAGGTACATTTTTTGGTGCACTGAACCTCCTAAAGGGCTCCAAGAAAATGAATAGACAAACAGTGCACAGCAAAGGTATAAATGTCACCTCATAGGTATGAATGTCACTGGAATGACACACAAAACAAGGGCATGGTGCTGTGCAGCAGTATGAAAACAATGTAGAGATCACTCATTAAATTCAATGCTACCGTCATCGAATTATCAGCAATGGATAATCCGAGGGTTTTTGAAGCCTTTTACTTAAATATCAGACTGTGTAGCAGAAAATTGCTTACAGGAATGTATAGTGTATTTGTTCAGTTATAATTGCAGTAATTATGTTTTTGCCTGCAAAACGTGAAAAATAGTCTGGTCTTGATGGGTCATTAACTGATTAAAGGTAAAGTGCACTTTAAAAAAATAATAAATGCACATATATTCATAGAAGTGTGGATTTAATATTTTTTTGCATTGGAGCCAGTCAGTGGTGTTTCTAGCCGTTTTGATGTCTGAGGCAGCTGGATAGGTTCGGTGCAGGCTCTGCATCTCCCCACCCAGCTCCTGGTAATCAGTAACGTCCCTGGTTGCCAGGAGCAGGGTGGGATGCCACCCACCAGGTTTCTAAGAGCTGATGTGTATAGCCCTGACACTCTGGCTGAAAAGGGGGTGGCAGGCACACTGAAAACATTGTGCAGCAGAGGGGCCATACCACTCACCCTGCCGCCCCTCCACGTGACCCAAAGAGATGCCACAGACTACCTCATTAAAGAGACGGCCCTGGTGCCAGTAAAGCATTGCACTCTTCATCCTGTCCCTATCCATACTGAGGTATGGACATTCAGTAATATAGAGGGGAGGAAGTGTCAATAGGCTACAAGTGCGGTGATGTCACAGTGTATTGGATTGAGAACTATACTTTTAGAGCTGACTTATTCCCTAGCGTGCCCTCCTCTCCACTGTCGCTCCCTCAAACACTGTGCCTTTCTTATTTGGTCATTGGACAGCCACTGATGATCACATACTCTATATTTGTGCTGGAGTAAGAGTATCCCGTCACCTGGCTTCAATCTTGACTGGGAGCAGGTTGGGCATGTACAATGCACTGCGCATATCGTGCTGACAGTGTACATGCAGAAAACATTTGCGAGTGGTCAGGTAATAGAGTTTTTTGCCAGAGGAGACTTACAAAGTCTCTTCTACCAAAAAAAAAAAACTGTACTTGCAAGCACTTTTTTTTAAGTTTAGTTTTGCTTTGACAAAGCTCCAGGGAATGTTTTATTCTTTTCTACAGAACCGTATAACTGACTTTCAGCCATCCTGTAAAATATTTTCTCTTCTTGGCAGTGAAAAGAGGATTAAGTATGATGAATACTTGGTACCCAATGCTTTGCTGGAGCTGGCTCTTCTCTATCTGCAGCTGGACAGGAGGGAGGATGCTGTCAAACTGCTGGAAAGTGCCAAGTAAGTGAGGATGACAGAACAGTGATATATGAGATGTGACAAGCTGGCCACTTAACCATCACTTTAGAATCTTCCACCCATTGTAAGAATGTTTGTTACAGCTGTATCAAAAATATGCCAAATGTCCACCCACGGACTTGCACTCCCATGAGATTTATAATGTATAATGTCATGACGTCCATTGTACTAACAATAGCACTGTAATGGAAAGAGATGAGGGAGCCATTCCCCTAAAATCATCACCCCACAATTTCTTCACAATGTATGCATTATTCCATAATCATTGCTTTCAATTCCAGGTGTCCATACAACAAATGTTCCAGTGAGGGGAAACAATGTGTTGCAGTTGATTTATGCATTGAGTTATACAGAGATGTCAGTACATTAGCTCTGGGGCATCCTGAGTTTAAACTCCATTACATTGAGCTATTTTGTTAGTAAAAAATGCAGATTACAACACTCTCCCCCCAAGGGCAGCTGATATTGTGTAATATACAAGGACACGCTGTATCCATCCTCACTCCTGGGAAGACATTAGCAATCCTTGTACCTGTACTTTACAATCCTGGTATCTTCACCCTCCGTTGCCAGTTAATAATGCCCCAACATACACTCAAAGCATATGTTATAGATGTAATATACCGTATATCATCTGCTAATGAGATCATGATGATGAGATTCATTTTCCTCTGGGCTGTAACTGCATCCAATACATGATTTGTGTGGTATTTTACAGTCCCAGAAGTGTTATGATCTGGCAATGTGGGCTGCACGGTTGCAAACACCTGACCATTTTTGGTAAAAACTAGCAAAATGGGTCAAATATTTCCACCTGCACACCCACATAGCCAAATCATTATACTTATGGGACTGTAAAATGCCATACATATCATCTTTTTAATGTGGTTATGGCCCAGATGGGCATGGAATAGTATGGCGATCTCTATAACAGATGCTGTATGCTATGGCTGATTTTATTACACATTTGGACAGTATTAACTTTCTGTTGAGATAAAAGGATTGTAAAGTACGGGTGCCAGGAGTGACAATGTTTTCTCAAGAGTGAGGATGGATACAGTGTCTACAATATTAGCTACCCTGGGGGAGACTGTTGTAATATGCATTTTACGAACAAAGATCGCTCAGGCAGGATTCAGTGTAATGGAGTTTAAACTCAAGACATCTTGGAGCTGATGTACTGGCATGTCTATACAGCTCAATATAAATATACATATACAGTATATCCATCAGCTGTGATATGTTTTCCCCTAACTGGAGAATGTTTTGCATGGACACCTGGATTTCATTGTGATGATTTTGAAATTATGGGGTGATGATTTAAAGAGGGTGGCTCCCTCATGTATGCAAATGCCTTTCTCCATTACAGTTCTCTAGTTAGTGTAGTGGAGGTGAAGCATTGAATGGATATGATTAAAGGAAGACATTGCACACTACATATCTGATGAGAATGCAAGTCTGTGGGTGGACGTTTAGAATATTTGTGATACACCTGTTTTATCATGCCATTGCATCACATAGTAACTCGATTTGAGACCTGTTTAGACTGCAACACAATAGCCTTTAGATGTACTTCAATGCTACAGCTTACCAAGAAACTTTAGAGAATTGGGCACTTCCAAACTTCTGGCAGCAGAATTGGTAGAAGCTTTTCAAGCATGACTGTGGCCCTGTGCACAAAACAAGATCCATAAACTCATGGCTAGTGAAAAAGGGTACTTCCTGTTCTGGCAAAGAGAGTATGTCATTTTGCCTATTCAGGGCAAAGTCCCATGAAAGCTCATACTAAACCCACTTATACTCGCCTTCCCCATTCCAACCTACCACTCTGTTGCTCCCTTGTAAGCTTCATAAAATAGTTGTTGCTGTCATATATTGGGGAGCATATGACCTCTTAACAGGATGGTGCTTGTGTGATGAACCAATATCTAGGCCCAAACACATGAGGAGAAGGATGTCGTCAACCCTGTGTAAGCTCTGGCGTAGTGTTTACACATGGTAGGACTTTTGGCTCCTATGGAGGAGCAGAGCAGCGGGAGAGTACATAGAAGGCAAGTATCAGTAGGCTTTGGGATGGGCTTTTAAAGAAAACTGGTTACTTTGTCCTAAATAAGTCTCTTTAAGGACTAACTTTCAGATCAGCAGCTGCAATTTCAATGGCTGATCCCTGAACAGTACATTGTGGTGTCCACTATTGGCAAGGTGACAGTTATTGTATGCATTGCACAGGGGGAATTACCTGTACATAGTATTCTAGTGAAAAGATTTCTATGAAACTTTACATGATATCAGAACTACCCTCCCTGTGCTGATCAGTGCTCCTCTGCGTTCTGTGTCATCCAAGGCTGTGTAATGCGTTAAACAGCTGGTTGGTGGGACATTCAGTATAATTACAGGCCTGCTATGTAAGATTACATGCATTTATCCAGAAATCAATTCTCTTTACAGGCTTATGTGTGCTAAACTACTGACAAGTAAACATTTCTCTTTCAGACACAATTACAAGAATTATTCCATGGAGTCTCGCACACATTTCAGGATTCAGGACGCTCTGCTGCAAGCCAAAACTACCCCTCACAATGGATGCTGACAAACATCCCTCGGGAATATCCCTCGTAGTATTTATTTATCAGAAACTGAGGCAGACGTAGGCGCAGGTCCCGGAATGCAACGCAAAGGCTACTCCAAGGGTCCCAGTCAAGATCACGTACATTATTTTATGTAAGGTGATTATTGTAAAGTGTATGGCAGCCAATCTTGTAGTGGTGGCTGGTTCACTCCATGATTGTTCAGCAGCCCCGCTTGTGCAGGGCGTCCAATGTTGTAAGCTGGACCAATAGTCAGTAGAACGCCTCATACCTCAGCAACGTCACTTGAACCTTCTAAATTAGTTGGCTACATATTGATACAGCACATTAAAGGGCTGATGAGTAAATATTTCACCCAGAGTAAAGCTGTGTAAATACCATTTGCAAAGCACTACCAACACTAGATGGAGCTGGAGAGCATAGTAAATGTTTTGCTCCTTGGCTCCTAGTCTTGGTAATGCCGTGCGAATGGCCTCCAGTATGGCACTAGAAGCATGAAATGGAGAATTATGAGACATGAGAACTGGTCCTCCTTCAGACACTTTTGTGTGTGAATTTCAGTGTGTTGATCAACAATTTAAGAAAACCAAAATATATATTAATACATTATGGTCACATCTTCATTTTGTATTGTACAGATGATTGAATAAACTGGAGAGAGAAATATTTATTTATAAAGCAATAGAAATGCAACTGCTCAAGTCTCAATGATTAAAGTACAGAGCCATGTGTCAGTTAGGAGATCAGCCACTAGAGGGAGCTGCTGTGTCCTCTCTGAGTTGTAGGAGGATCAGTAGAAGCTGGTTTATCTACTTCTGTGACATAATGTATATGAATATCAGTGCGTTCAAGGGCACCCTGTAAAATATCTACAATGCTTGTATTTATGATGGGCATTGAGTCAAACCTTTGTTCTCTTGTGGAGCTATGGCTACCACTGCTAACCAACACTTCTGGGTTTGTTTAATAGCATGTGTCCCACAGGGCGCAGTGGTTCCTCTTCCAGCCACTATGTCACTATAGAACACAGTCATCTTGTAGTGGCCGGAAAGAAGGGCCACAGTGCCCAGTGGGAGACATGCTATTAGACAAGCCCAGATGTGTTGGATAGCAGTAGAGCCCAAAGCTCCGCAAGAGAACAATAGTTTGACACATTGCCCAACCATTTATTGCTGCACATTGATTTATAACATTACTTCTCTTTAATGACAAATGTTGTCATGTAGCAGGTGATCATAACCACATTGCCGCTAAACGCTGTTCATTGTATCATCATTGTATTGGATGTGGAGGCAGGAGCTTGATGAAGAAATGGAGCTGGACATAAAGGTGTTTTTAGTGGTGCTTGGCTCATCAAGGGCCCCTAGCAGTGCCATTCACAGATGAGATCATTGCTGGTGCTCTCTTTAGTCTAAAGCTGGCCATACACCTATAGATTTTCGATCGGAAATGTTTGTTGCTGCCAAGAACCCTCTTTCGATATAGCCCATTATGCACAGACCAATGTCCATTTTGATAATCGTTCTTTAGCAATACTAACCCAATCGACAGAACGGATTTTTGCTGTGCAGCGTTCTCGCTGCAATTTTTTTTTTCGTACGAAAATCGATGGATTAAAAAAAAGTTTTCCAGCGTGACCGATCAAAGAAATTCAACCAGTTGTACAGTAAATAAAATTGTTGATATCCCAACAACTGATCGCTTATCGTTCGAAAGACCATTCGTGGACGATTTCCGAACTAAAATCGATAGGTGTATGGGCATCTTAAGCCACATGGTGGTTTTTCGGTGTTCCCTCTCACAATTAAAACTAGGTAAGATTAATTATAAAATACCGGGGGGATTTATCAAAACTGGAGCAGCCCTGCATGACAACCAATCAGCTTCTCTCTTCAGTTTGTTCACTTAGGATTTGGAAATGAGAGAGAAAAGCTGATTGGTTGCCATGTACAGCTGCTCCAGATTTTGTGTGTGTGTGTGTGTGTGTGCGTGTGTGTGTGTGTGTGTGTGTGTGTGTGTGTGTTAAAGTGCATACAACGTAGATACAAAATATAAAGTATATTTCACTAAAGATATTTTTAGTTTTATGCATTTAATATATTTGTTTCCTTGCAGAGTGTTTCTTGCACTTTATATCTGTTCTAAATAAAGTGGAAGAAACACTGTGCAAAACAAACCCCATATACACTGTATATTATTATCTACTTAGTATGCACTTTATTATTACAAAGTACCTTTCACTAAAGATAGTTTTATGTTTTACATATTTTTTTTGCACCGTGTTTCTTTATATACAATGAATATTAAACTGAGTATATCTGTTAAAAGTGATTAAAGTGCAAGAAACTAAACCCCCCCCCCAATTCTGCACTTTAATGTAGAATTAACATGGGGTATGATGGTGTACATGCTGCAGATTCTGTTATATGATTTGTAGGTATGCTTAATTACTGTGGTGCGGTACTATGGGATCACAATGGTGCAAGTTACACAGCAGCATGTATTTATGATAAACTGTACATGACCACACACTGCTCCCTCTATGTTTATGGCGGATGGACATGGCAGTGTAGCTGGCACTGTTCATAACTTGTTAAACTATTGGCAATCAATGTCTCATTTTATTGGTGTAATTGGTTGGCTAAAATTCATATACATACCTTAATTTTAAAAGGGACACTACCGTCATTAAGTGGAAGTGATCAGCTACATGTAATTATTCTATAGTTGTAAAAGCTCATCTCCAGTCAAACATTTTTTTTTTGCTCTATTAAAATGTGGAAGAGGCAGATTCTTCTGACATTGTGCTCCATTTTTCCATTAAGGAGACTCCCCCTCACATGCATCTGGCGTCAGTGACCCCTTATTATGACAGCAAGGGAGGGTAAATCTCACTAACAGGGGCAAAGACAGCAACAAAAATAACCTGACAAGGTTTTCCACCTCTGCTCTGCTCAAAACAAAACGTTTGTTGTGGTTTGCATCTGTATTGGAAAGGTTTCCTCCGAGTTTCTCTCCCAGTGACAGGGAGTTAAGGGAAATCCTTGTAGTGTCGGAGAACAAAGTGAATATTAAGGCCAGGGGCTGGAACCCTTCCGCACTAGCCAAATCTAAAAGAAAGTTCGGCCTGCACTTGGGCTTCATTGTGTTCATATATGGTTGTAAATAAATAAGTTACATAAAGATTACTATAACTTAAATATGTGCTCACTAAGATTCCACCATAGTTTTTAGGAGAACTATTGGGAAAAGCCCTGACCCCATAGTTCTCCTTTTAAGGTGGGCAAAGTGAAGTCTAGATCCCCAATGTGTATGGACACAGAGCAGCAGACCCCCCTGGTGACCAGTCTTGGGAGGAAATGGCATTTGGCTTTGTTGGATCATTTTAGCCGGCTGCTATTGTTTATTCCTGAGACAAGCCAGTGATTGGTGCCTCTGAGCGCGCTCCCGCCTCCTACAACATAAATAGCTATGCTCAGGCAATTCAGGGCTTGCCCCAAGCACCTAAAGTGTATGGCCCGCATTACACAGATTACTAATGAAAGATATCTCACACCAACAGAAATACACAGATGGCCGTTGATGACCTTTTGAAAATGGAATTTGTCTGGCTGTTTCTGGATTCAGTACATTGAATCACAGATCAGGAACAAGCATGAAGATGAGGAAGTCAGAACTCCTGATCTGCAGACTTCTTCCATATCAGTGATCCAGAAAATATGGAAGGCATTGATTTAGCATGAGAGCCTAGCAACTGGCATTGTCAGCAATGACCCCCCCCAAATCCTTCCTCTGTATTGGTTTCCTTTACCAGCTGGGAACCAGCAATAAATCTCCAAACATTGTATTAAAATATGAATGTACATAATGTGTAGGCCAGGAGTAGGAAACCTCAGCACACCAGCTGTGGTGAAACTACAAATCCCTTCAAGCCTTCTCCTCCGGTAAGTCATGCCTATGGCTGTCAGAGTCTTGCAATGCCTCATGGGACTTGTAGTTCTACAGTTTTAGTATAGAGGTGGCCAAGCCCTGTTGTAGGCAGTGGATGTTTCCACGTTTTTGCTTTGCTAAGAGCTCAGAGGGGTTTACACCACTTGGCCAGTTTATACCTTTTAGTTTCCCAGCTCTCAGGGTCTACTGTAGTGGAAACGTTGGATGTTCCTGGAGTTAGCTGACGCTGCATTTAATTTTTCATGAAAGGCATGCTACCTAGGCATCAATGATCCGGGCAACGTTGGAAAAGGATGTCATCTAAAGCCAGCATTCTGCTTTGGACACATAAATGAAACACAGGGGTTGGTAAGGCCTGACTGCCGTAGCGGAGCCAGACCCCTCCCTACAAATAAAATAGGTTTTGTTATTATGCAGGACTCTTGTTCCTCGAAATCTCCTTTTGTTTTTTTTTTCTTGCCATGTGACTGATGCAGACAGCGAGGAAAAACTGCCTGTATTGTCAGTGGGAGAGTCATTGTGTATCTTCCACACAGCGATATGCTGGGTGAATGCTGCTCACACACCATTCCGCCACTAGATGGAGCCAAAGAGCACAGGAATTTTCTATATCCTTTAGCTCCATCTAGTGGTAGAAATGTTGTGCAATCGGCATTCACCCAGCATACAGCTGGGCGGAAAATTTCTAAATAGACACAAAAATGTCTGGAGCCAGTAGCAGTCATGTATGAAAGCATGTGATCTTGTGTCAGGGAATGTCACACTAAATGGTGAACACAGCATTGCATGTCTAAGCACCTCTACTGCAGCCAAAAGCTGCTATACTGCATTTATGGTCCTGAACATCCCATGTGCACCACCCCCTCTTCTTGAGGACTGTATAGGGCAGGTGTAGGCAACCTTGGCTCTCCAGCTGTGCTGAAACTACAAATCCCACAAGGCATTGCAAGCCCCAGGCATGACTCCCAGAGGCTGGAAGCATGATGGGATTTGTAGTTTCAGCACAGCTGGAGAGGCAAGGTTGCCTACCTCTGGTATAGGAGTATGCCCCACTGTCCCAAGTGTAGAGAATGGCAATCATACAGATAAGGGGTCGGAATGGCGGTAGATGTGTGTCACTACGGTGTATTTCCACTTTTGCAGTCAAATTTGAGGCAACCCCTCTATACCCCTGTTATGTGTTCCCAAAAATACAGCGTAAAAGAAAAATGATTTAAAAAAAAGAATATTTCTTAGCTTTCCAGGTGTTTTCTAGGTGCAGGCCAGGCTGCAAGCTGCTCTGAACAATAAAAAAAAGTGAAGGTAGAGGAGGACACTGCTCTCCTTAACATACATTGGAGCACACAAGACCTGAGATCTTTCACCCTCA